ACCTGGGCCTGGAGGTGGCCCTATGTAAGTCGGAGGCCATGGTGTTCCATGGACCTCGACGCGCGCCGCCGCCGGGTTCACACATCGTGGTCAGCGGGGCCCGGATAGCTGTCGAGTCCACCATGAAGTATCTGGGATTGGTGCTCGACAGCCGATGGGAATTCGGACCCCACTTCCGGCGGCTGGCGCCCAAGCTGATGGGTGCAGCGGGCGCGCTATCAACGTTGCTTCCCAACTTGGGGGGCCCGAGCGCCGCCTGTAGGCGGTTGTACGTAGGAATCGTGCGGTCCATGGCCCTGTATGGGGCCCCTGTGTGGGCGATGGACATGACGGCCAGCACTCTCGCCATTCTGCGTAAACCGCAGAGGGCGATGGCCGTCAGAGTCGTCCGCGGGTATCGCACGATTTCCTACGAGGCGGCTTGCGTCCTGGCCGGATCCCCGCCCTGGGACCTAGAGGCGAAAGTACTCGCGTCATTATATCGATGGCGCGAGGAAGAGCGGGCACGGGGCTCGAGGCCGGTGCAGCGGCAGATCGCGCTGCGCCGAGAGGAGCTCCGTCAGGCCTTGGTGGCGGAATGGCGGCAAAGGCTTCTGCGCCCTACCGCCGGCCTCGCTACCGTCGAGGCGATCCGGCCAGTACTCGACGACTGGCTCGGGAGAAGGCACGGCTCCCTGTCGTTTAGGGTGACGCAAGTGCTGTCGGGGCATGGCTGCTTCGGCAAGTACCTGCGCCGCATAGACAGGGAGCCGGACGCTCGGTGCCACCACTGCGTCCATTGCGGGGAGGACACGGCGCAACACACGCTCGCCGAGTGTGTAGCTTGGGAGGAGCAGCGCCGTGTCCTCACAAATAAAGTAGGAGGCGATCTGTCGCTGCCGGCCTTAGTGCGGAAGATGGTCGGTAGCGCAGAGTCGTGGGATGCGGTGGTGTCCTTCTGCGAGGACGTGATGTCGCAGAAGGAAACTGCGGAACGGGAAAGGGAGATCTCGACTCCCTTCCCTGGCCGCAGAAGGCGCACCGGGCGCAGGAGAAGGGCGGACAACGCCCTTTTCCGGCCCCCATAAATGGGTCCAGGGGCGAGGGACTTGGGGAAGCCCCCCGCCACCCCTACTCGATGGACCCGAGACGGATGCGCGCGCGGGTGTCGGCGCGCGCCTCTGAGGCGATACACGGGGTAGTTGAACACCTCACTACCCCGTGCAGGAGACGAGGCCTGGACAGACCGGGCCAGCACTAGTGTGGGGCTGCGGAAGAATTTGGATTCCCGCGGCCCCATGCGCACGTGTGAGGAGACACCGGGGTGGTTTTAGCCGGTAAGAGTGCGGCACGCCCCTCCGCCTTTCCCCAGGCGGAGGTAGTCCATGAGGATTTCCCCCCGTAAAAAAAAAAAAAAAAAAAGGTTAGGTTAGGTTCCCCCCCGACGTCCGTTGCGCATGTCGTCCGTTGCGCATGTGAAATTGGAGGCCGAGGAGGAGGGCGCGCCATGTGTTCTGGTGCGCCTTACCTGAGAGGGAGATGGGGGAGGAGTGGTCCTCTCCCGAGGAGGGGCCGCCATGGGGCGGCCAGCGCAGGTGGGGCCGCGGAAGTGTGCGAAAGCGTTCCCGTGGCCCTGCCAATATGCGACAAGGTTGGAACACCATGGGGTTTTAGTCGGTGCGAGTCCGACATAACCCGTCCTTGCCCCCGCGAGGCGGGTATGCGTAGGCATTTCCCCATGTAAAAAAAAAAAAAAGGTTCCCCCCCGAACGGGTTCCCGCCTTGTCGTGGCGGGGGGGCTTAGTAGCCGTGGCTTGGTCAACCACGGTGAACGAAGAGGAACCCCTTGGCTGGCCCGAGGTGTAGGGCCGGCCCGAGGTGGCCACTCCGAGTGGGCTTGGGAAGCCCACTTCGGATGTGTGTCGGGGGGCTGTGGTGAGAGGGGAGTCCGCAACCCTCTACCGCTGCAGCCGAGGTGGAGTCGCGGAGGAAGAGGAGTGTTGGTATGGCGATGCGCCACTCGCCCTATCCTCCGCGACTAAGACGGGGCCGCACCGTTGAATGATGCGGTGGTGGTGGGGCTGCGGGGGGAGAGGAGTGTCGGTATTGCGAGGCGCCGCTCTCCCCACCCTCCGCAGCCGAATCTTGGTTGGCGGCGGAGCCATAGACCAGATCCGCCGCTGGGGTCGGGAAGGCTGGTGCTTCTTAGTGCTAGTTTTTCCTGGCCCCATGGCCTTCGCGCATCGGACACGGGGGCGTCTGTTGCACATATGAAATTGGAGGCCGAGGAGGAGGGCGCGCCATGTGTTCTGGTGCGCCTTACCGGAGAAGGAGATGGGGGAGGAGTGGTCCTCTCCCGAGGAGGGGCCGCCATGGGGTGGCCGGCGCAGGTGGGGCCGCGGAAGTGTGCGAAAGCGTTCCCGTGGCCCTGCCAATATGCGACGAGGGTGGAACACCATGGGGTTTTAGTCGGTGCGAGTCCGACATAACCCGTCCTTGCCCCCGCGAGGCGGGTATGCGTAGGCATTTCCCCATGTAAAAAAAAAAAAAAAAAAAAAAAGGTTAGGTTAGGTTAGGTTAGGTTCCCCCCCGAACGGGTTCCCGCCTTGTCGTGGCGGGGGGGCTTAGTAGCCGTGGCTTGGTCAACCACGGTGAACGAAGAGGAACCCCTTGGCTGGCCCGAGGTGTAGGGCCGGCCCGAGGTGGCCACTCCGAGTGGGCTTGACGAGCCCACTTCGGATGTGTGTTGGTGGGCTGCGGTGAGAGGGAAGTCCGCGCCCTCTACCGCTGCAGCCGAGGTGGAGTCGCGGAGGAGGAGGAGTGCTGGTATGGCGATGCGCCACTCGCCCTATCCTCCGCGACTCAGACGGGGCCGCACCGTCTATTGATGCGGTGGTGGTGGGGCTGCGGGGGGAGAGGAGTGTCGGTATTGCGAGGCGCCGCTCGCCCTACCCTCCGCAGCCGAATCTTGGTTGGCGGCGGAGCCATAGACCAGATCCGCCGCTGGGGTCAGGAAGGCTGGTGCTTTTCAGTGCTAGTTTTTCCTGGCCCCATGGCCTTCGTGCATCGGACACGGGGGCGTCCGTTGCGCATATGAAATTGGAGGCCGAGGAGGAGGGCGCGCCATGTGTTCTGGTGCGCCTTACCGGAGAAGGAGATGGGGGAGGAGTGGTCCTCTCCCGAGGAGGGGCCGCCATGGGGTGGCCGGCGCAGGTGGGGCCGCGGAAGTGTGCGAAAGCGTTCCCGTGGCCCTGCCAATATGCAACGAGGGTGGAACACCATGGGGTTTTAGTCGGTGCGAGTCCGACATAACCCGTCCTTGCCCCCGCGAGGCGGGTATGCGTAGGCATTTCCCCATGTAAAAAAAAAAAAAAAAAAAAAAAAGGTTAGGTTAGGTTAGGTTAGGTTCCCCCCCGAACCCCCCCGAACGGGTTCCCGCCTTGTCGTGGCGGGGGGGCTTAGTAGCCGTGGCTTGGTCACCCACGGTGAACAAAGAGGAACCCCTTGGCTGGCCCGTGGTGTAGGGCCGGCCCGAGGTGGCCACTCCGAGTGGGCTTGGGAAGCCCACTTCGGATGTGTGTCGGGGGGCTGCGGTGAGAGGGGAGTCCGCACCCTCTACCGCTGCAGCCGAGGTGGAGTCGCGGAGGAAGAGGAGTGTTGGTATGGCGATGCGCCACTCGCCCTATCCTCTGCGACTAAAACGGGGCCGCACCGTTGATGCGGTGGTGGTGGGGCCGCGGGGGGAGAGGAGTGTCGGTATTGCGAGGCGCCGCTCTCCCTATCCTCCGCGGCCGAAACTTGGTTGGCGGCGGAGCCCGAGACCAGACCCGCCGCTGGGGCCAGGAAGGCTGATGCTTCTGAGTGCTAGTTTTTCCTGGCCCCATGGCCTTCGCGCATCGGACACGGGGGCGTCCGTTGCGCATTAGAAATTGGAGGCCGAGGAGGAGGGCGCACCATGTGTTCTGGTGCGCCTTATCTGAGAAGGAGATGGGGGAGGAGTGTTCCTCTCCCGAGGAGGGGCCGCCATGGGGCGGTCAGCGCAGGTGGGGCCGCGGAAGTGTGCGAAAGCGTTCCCGTGGCCCTGCCAATATGCGACGAGGGTGGAACACCATGGGGTTTTAGTCGGTGCGAGTCCGACATAACCCGTTCTTGCCCCCGCGAGGCGGGTATGCGTAGGCATTTCCCCATGTAAAAAAAAAAAAAAAAAAAAAAAAAAGGTTCCCCCCCGAACGGGTTCCCGCCTTGTCGTGGCGGGGGGGCTTAGTAGCCGTGGCTTGGTCACCCACGGTGAACAAAGAGGAACCCCTTGGCTGGCCCGTGGTGTAGGGCCGGCCCGAGGTGGCCACTCCGAGTGGGCTTGGGAAGCCCACTTCGGATGTGTGTCGGGGGGCTGTGGTGAGAGGGGAGTCCGCAACCCTCTACCGCTGCAGCCGAGGTGGAGTCGCGGAGGAAGAGGAGTGTTGGTATGGCGATGCGCCACTCGCCCTATCCTCCGCGACTCAGACGGGGCCGCACCGTTAATTGATGCGGTGGTGGTGGGGCTGCGGGGGGAGAGGAGTGCCGGTATTGCGAGGCGCCGCTCTCCCTACCCTCCGCAGCCGAATCTTGGTTGGCGGCGGAGCCATAGACCAGATCCGCCGCTGGGGTCGGGAAGGCTGGTGCTTCTTAGTGCTAGTTTTTCCTGGCCCCATGGCCTTCGCGCATCGGACACGGGGGCGTCTGTTGCGCATATGAAATTGGAGGCCGAGGAGGAGGGCGCGCCATGTGTTCTGGTGCGCCTTACCGGAGAAGGAGATGGGGGAGGAGTGGTCCTCTCCCGAGGAGGGGCCGCCATGGGGTGGCCGGCGCAGGTGGGGCCGCGGAAGTGTGCGAAAGCGTTCCCGTGGCCCTGCCAATATGCGACAAGGGTGGAACACCATGGGGTTTTAGTCGGTGCGAGTCCGACATAACCCGTCCTTGCCCCCGCGAGGCGGGTATGCGTAGGCATTTCCCCATGTAAAAAAAAAAAAAAAAAGGTTAGGTTAGGTTAAGATGGTCGGTAGCGCAGAGTCGTGGGATGCAGTGGTGTCCTTCTGCGAGGACGTGATGTTTAGCTTGGTTGTTATGAACTGCATCATATCATAGAGGGAGTCCTCGGTGCTACACTGCGGCATGAACCCATATTGTTTCCGGCTTAGCTTTGGTACGATGTGCCACTTGATTCTTCGGACCACCATTTTTTCGAGGACCTTGCCCAGCACAGGCAATAGCCCAATCGGCCTGTAAGATCTGGGGTGTGTGTAGTCCCTTTTACCCGGTTTCCGTAACACTACCACTACCGCCTTCTTCCATTTATTGGGAAAGTATGTGAGTTCCATACATTTATTGACCAGTGCCAAGAACAGTCCTAAATCCACGGTTATAGCTACTCTACAGATGTCTGCTGTAAAGCCGTCGTCACCTGGCGCCTTTTTCGGATTAAAACTCGACACGGCCCACGTTAGTTCCTCCGCTGTAAAGGGTGGGTCACTTGAACTATCAAGTGTCCCCTCATTCACTGTATTAGCTACTTCTCTCATCAACTCGTGTTCCGTGTCGTCCTCCTCGTTTTGATCCTCTGGATAAAAAGTCTCCGCCAGGATCCTGGCTGATTCTTCTCTTTCCAATGTCTTTACACCTTGTACAAGCGGGATTTCGTCCTGTCGCACCATTGTTCGGCTAATTACTCTATACACACTATCCCACATAGTCTCTCTCTCCTGCTTGCTACAAAAGTCTTTCCAACTGGTGGTCTGAGCCCTCTTTATTTCCTGCTGATATTCTTCTTTCGCCCTTTTGTACTGCTCGACCACCCACTCACGTCGGACTGGCGCTGCGTATGAGATACGGCGTCTCAACCTGGAGACCTCCTTTTTCTGCTGTGTTAGCTCCTCAGTCCACCAGGGCAGTCCTACTCGTTTTTTAATATTTAGCTTTGGTATACTGTATTCACAGGCTTCTGTCATTGAATTTGTGAAATCGTTAATTCTTTCCTCTAATTCTTCTGTATTTGTTAATCCATCAATTGTTGCTTTATCTAACCTTTTGTCATTCCAAATCTGGACAAGTTTCTCACGAAACTTGTTCCAATTTGCCTTCTTCGTGTTGTACATCCTAGTCGTTCTCTTTATATCCGTGCCTATTGATTTCTTCAAATTTATGTCGAATAAGATTGCCCTGTGGTCTGAGCTAGTTATTTCATCGGATAGTCTCCAGTTATGCATCCTTCCGAGCAGGCTAGTCGAGCAAGTAGTAATATCAACACAGCTCGAGAATCTTTTCCCACCTCTAATGATATCAAATGTAGGCTCAGTACCCCTGTTTAAAGTATGTAGTTCCAATTCATCAAGCTTTGCAGCAAGCTCCACCCCTCTAATATCTGTTTCACGACTTCCCCACCAGGTGTTCCACGCATTTACGTCACCACCGAGTATCACGTTCCTTGTCCCTATGCTTTCCACGGCCTCTCCAATCATGTTCAAGTATGGTTCGATTGGTTTATCCCCCTCCAGGTAGACGGACACCACTCCAATCTCCCACGCCCCTGTTCTGAGTTTTGCGACTGCAATATTCTCAGTTGTTAGACTGGGGCATGGGGTCATGTCAATGGTGTCGTCGAATAATACAATAGCAGCTTTTATAACCTTTTCAGTGTTCAGGCTTCTGCTGCTTTGTATTATTCTCGTCCCCGAGTAGTTTTTCATCTGACCAATCCGTCCAATGTAAGGCTCCTGTACCATGGCAAAGGATATCCTCCTTTTTGCCGCCTCTGTGATTAGTTCGGCCGTGGCCAGCTCGCATCTTTGGTTAGGTTAGGTTAGGTTAGGTTCCCCCCCGAACGGGTTCCCGCCTTGTCGTGGCGGGGGGGCTTAGTAGCCGTGGCTTGGTCACCCACGGTGAACAAAGAGGAACCCCTTGGCTGGCCCGTGGTGTAGGGCCGGCCCGAAGTGGCCACTCCGAGTGGGCTTGGCGAGCCCACTTCGGATGTGTGTCGGGGGGCTGCGGTGAGAGGGGAGTCCGCACCCTCTACCGCTGCAGCCGAGGTGGAGTCGCGGAGGAAGAGGAGTGTTGGTATGGCGATGCGCCACTCGCCCTATCCTCCGCGACTCTGACGGGGCCGCACCGTTAATGATGCGGTGGTGGTGGGGCTGCGGGGGGAGAGGAGTGTCGGTATTGCGAGGCGCCGCTCTCCCTACCCTCCGCAGCCGAATCTTGGTTGGCGGCGGAGCCATAGACCAGATCCGCCGCTGGGGTCAGGAAGGCTGGTGCTACTGAGTGCTGGTTTTTCCTGGCCCCATGGCCTTCGCGCATCGGACACGGGGGCGTCCGTTGCGCATGTGAAGTTGGAGGCCGAGGAGGAGGGCGCGCCATGTGTTCTGGTGCGCCTTACCTGAGAGGGAGATGGGGGAGGAGTAGTCCTCTCCCGAGGAGGGGCCGCCATGGGGTGGCCAGCGCAGGTGGGGCCGCGGATGTGTGCGAAAGCGTTCCCGTGGCCCTGCCAATATGCGACGAGGGTGGAACACCATGGGGTTTTAGTCGGTGCGAGTCCGACATAACCCGTCCTTGCCCCCGCGAGGCGGGTATGCGTAGGCATTTCCCCATGTAAAAAAAAAAAAAAAAAAAAAAGGTTAGGTTAGGTTAGGTTAGGTTAGGTTAGGTTCCCCCGGCGATGGCTTCGCCCTCAGCCACAGACTCTCCAGAAGAGGAGAGCACCGATGTCCCCGAGGTGACGCAAGCAGAGACGAGAGTGGCCGTGTCGCGACTCCGGGCTAAGAACACAGCGCCCGGACCCGACGGAGTTCCTGGTCGAGCTCTCGTCCTGGCTCTGAAGGAGCTAGAGCCCCAGCTGAGAGGGCTCTTCACGGCATGTCTCGAGCAGGGTCAGTTTCCCAGTGTGTGGAACCCCTCCTTCCACACACTGGGAAACTGAGGCTGGTCCTGCTCAGGAAGGAGGGGCGCCCCGCGGACTCACCGTCCGCGTACCGGCCCATAGTGCTGCTCGACGAGGCGGGCAAACTTTTTGAGCGTATCATCGCAGATCGCCTCGTCAGCCACTTGTGCAGAGAGGGGCCGGACCTGGATGACAACCAGTTTGGTTTTCGTCGCGGGCGCTCCACCATAGACGCTATTACGCGCGTGAGGGCCCTGGCGGAGGAGACAGTATCCCGGGGTGGGGTGGTGCTGGCGGTGTCCTTAGACATCTCCAACGCTTTCAACACCCTACCCTGGAGTTGCATTCGGGAGGCGCTGAATTACCATCGCGTGCCTCCCTACCTCCGCCGCACAATAGGGGCTTACCTTGAGGAGAGATGCGTTACCTATTGGGGACGTGACGGCGCTGGTCGGCGCGTCATGTCGTGCGGTGTTCCGCAGGGATCGGTCTTGGGACCGCTCCTGTGGAACATCGGCTACGACTGGGTGCTGAGAGGTGAACTCCCGTCGGGCGCCGACTTGACGTGTTATGCGGACGACACGCTCGTCACTGCCCGGGGGAGTTCGTACAGGGAAGCAGCGTTGGTTGCCACGGCTGCGGTGTCACAAGTGGTGAACCGCATCCGGCGCCTGGGCCTGGAGGTGGCCCTAAGTAAGTCGGAGGCCATGGTGTTCCATGGACCTCGACGCGCGCCGCCGCCGGGTTCACACATCGTGGTCAGCGGGGCCCGGATAGCTGTCGAGTCCACCATGAAGTATCTGGGATTGGTGCTCGACAGCCGATGGGAATTCGGACCCCACTTCCGGCGGCTGGCGCCCAAGCTGATGGGTGCAGCGGGCGCGCTATCAACGTTGCTTCCCAACTTGGGGGGCCCGAGCGCCGCCTGTAGGTGGTTGTACGTGGGAATCGTGCGGTCCATGGCCCTGTATGGGGCCCCTGTGTGGGCGATGGACATGACGGCCAGCACTCTCGCCATTCTGCGTAAACCGCAGAGGGCGATGGCCGTCAGAGTCGTCCGCGGGTATCGCACGATTTCCTACGAGGCGGCTTGCGTCCTGGCCGGATCCCCGCCCTGGGACCTAGAGGCGAAAGTACTCGCGTCATTATATCGATGGCGCGAGGAAGAGCGGGCACGGGGCTCGAGGCCGGTGCAGCGGCAGATCGCGCTGCGCCGAGAGGAGCTCCGTCAGGTCTTGGTGGCGGAATGGCGGCAAAGGCTTCTGCGCCCTACCGCCGGCCTCGCTACCGTCGAGGCGATCCGGCCAGTACTCGACGACTGGCTCGGGAGAAGGCACGGCTCCCTGTCGTTTAGGGTGACGCAGGTGCTGTCGGGGCATGGCTGCTTCGGCAAGTACCTGCGCCGCATAGACAGGGAGCCGGACGCTCGGTGCCACCACTGCGTCCATTGCGGGGAGGACACGGCGCAACACACGCTCGCCGAGTGTGTAGCTTGGGAGGAGCAGCGCCGTGTCCTCACAAATAAAGTAGGAGGCGATCTGTCGCTGCCGGCCTTAGTGCGGAAGATGGTCGGTAGCGCAGAGTCGTGGGATGCGGTGGTGTCCTTCTGCGAGGACGTGATGTCGCAGAAGGAAACTGCGGAACGGGAAAGGGAGATCTCGACTCCCTTCCCTGGCCGCAGAAGGCGCACCGGGCGCAGGAGAAGGGCGGACAACGCCCTTTTCCGGCCCCCATAAATGGGTCCAGGGGCGAGGGTTTTGGGGAAGCCCCCGCCACCCCTACTCGATGAAGCCCGAGGCGGAGGCGCGCGCGGGTGTCGGCGCGCGCCCCTGAGGCGATACACGGGGTAGTTTAACACCTCACTACCCCGTGCAGGAGACGAGGCCCGGACGGACCGGGCCAGCACTAGTGTGGGGCTGCGGAAGAATTTGGATTCCCGCGGCCCCACGCGCACGTGTGAGGAGACACCGGGGTGGTTTTAGCCGGTAAGAGTCCGGCACGCCCCTCCGCCTTTCCCCAGGCGGAGGTAGTCCATGAGGATTTCCCCCCGTAAAAAAAAAAAAAAAAAAGGTTAGGTTAGGTTAGGTTAGGTTCCCCCCCGAACGGGTTCCCGCCTTGTCGTGGCGGGGGGGCTTAGTAGCCGTGGCTTGGTCACCCACGGTGAACAAAGAGGAACCCCTTGGCTGGCCCGTGGTGTAGGGCCGGCCCGAGGTGGCCACTCCGAGTGGGCTTGGGAAGCCCACTTCGGATGTGTGTCGGTGGGATGCTGCGAGAGGGGTGTCCGCTCCCCCCCCCCTCTCTCGCTGCAGCCGAGGTGGAGTCGCGGAGGAAGAGGCGTGCTGGTATGGCGATGCGCCACTCGCCCTATCCTCCGCGACTCAGACGGGGCCGCACCGTTAAATGATGCGGTGGTGGTGGGGCTGCGGGGGGAGAGGAGTGTCGGTATTGCGAGGCGCCGCTCTCCCTACCCTCCGCAGCCGAATCTTGGTTGGCGGCGGAGCCATAGACCAGATCCGTCGCTGGGGTCAGGAAGGCTGGTGCTTCTGAGTGCTAGTTTTTCCTGGCCCCATGGCCTCCGCGTATCGGACTCGGGGGGGTCCGATGCGCAGGTGGAGTTGGAGGCTGTGGAGGGGGGTAGCCTAACACCTCGTTACCCCGTGCAGGAGACGAGGCTCGGACAGACCGGGCCAGCACTAGTGTGGGGCTGCGGAAGAATTTGGATTCCCGCGGCCCCGCACGCACGTGCGAGGAGGCACCGTGGGGTTTTAGCCGGTAGGAGTCCGGCATAACCTTCGGTTGCCCCCGCAGCCGGAGGTATCCATGAGGATTTCCCCACGAAAAAAAAAAAAAAAAAAAAAAAAAGGTTAGGTTAGGTTAGGTTAGGTTACCCCCCCGAACGGGTTCCCGCCTTGTCGTGGCGGGGGGGCTTAGTAGCCGTGGCTTGGTCAACCACGGTGAACAAAGAGGAACCCCTTGGCTGGCCGGTGGTGTAGGGCCGGCCCGAGGTGGCCACTCCGAGTGGGCTTGGGAAGCCCACTTCGGATGTGTGTCGGGGGGCTGCGGTGAGAGGGGAGTCCGCACCCTCTACCGCTGCAGCCGAGGTGGAGTCGCGGAGGAAGAGGAGTGTTGGTATGGCGATGCGCCACTCGCCCTATCCTCTGCGACTAAAACGGGGCCGCACCGTTGATGCGGTGGTGGTGGGGCCGCGGGGGGAGAGGAGTGTCGGTATTGCGAGGCGCCGCTCTCCCTATCCTCCGCGGCCGAAACTTGGTTGGCGGCGGAGCCCGAGACCAGATCCGCCGCTGGGGTCGGGAAAGCGGGCGCTATTAAGCGCTCGATTTTCCGGGCCCCATGGCCTCCGCGTATCGGACTCGGAAAGTCCAACGGAAGTAACCCGGCGAGTAGTAGGGCCGAGTGTAGAGAAACTGTCCTATAGGATTTTATAACTTTTTGCACAAACCCGCGCTGCACCATATCTAGTTGTTTTCTTACCTTGTGTTTATAGGTTGCTGATGCCCATGCACTGGCCGCATACATGACTATCGGCTCAACTACTGCAATATAATGGTCCTAATGATCTCCGGGTTCAGGCCCCAATGTATCTTTGCAGCTCTCGACAGTTGACGATATATGTTCTGGACTTTACAGCATGTTCTATTAATGTGCGTATTAAAGGTAAGCTTATCGTCAACTGTGAGGCCGAGTATTTTGATTTCTTTGGAGACTTCAATGTCCTTCCCGCCCATCTCCAGAAGTGGTGAGTCATACTTGAGCTTATTTGTTATAACCATGGCTTTGGTTTTGTGTGGCGCAAAATTAAGCTTATTTCCGACCCCCCCCTTCCGGACACGTTCGAGAATTTCATTGGCCTGCTCCTGAACCTGTTGTGCCGTATCCCCGGAGAACATCAGGACCACATCATCCGCGAAAGCCTGGCAATGGGACCCCTTTGCACTCAACTCCCTCAGGAGTGGATCCAGAAGAATGTTCCAAAAAATTGGACCCCCGATCGAGCCTTGCACACACCCTTTATTGGTCTTCCTTAAATATTCGGCCCCGGCATATCTGAGGCATACCGTTCTATCTGTAAGATAGCTATCTACTACCCGCCTCAGATTTACCGGACACCCAATCTCCGCGAGCCTACACCGTATCGCCGGCCACCACGCATTATCGAAGGCTCCCTCTATGTCCAATGATATAAGCAGAATCAATTTTCTGTCTTTCAGTTTGCTCTTAATAAACTGCATCATGTCATAGAGGGAGTCCTCCGTGCTGCGCTGCGGCATAAATCCGTACTGGTTCCGGCTTATCTTCGGAACGATGTGCCACTTTATTCTGCGGATTAACATTTTTTCATAAATTTTCCCCAGTACAGGCAATAGCCCAATCGGCCTGTAAGATTTAGGGTGTGCGTAATTTTCTTTGCCAGGCTTTCTCAGTACTACAACTGCTGCCCTCTTCCACTTGACGGGGAAGTATGCAAGACTGAGGCATCTGTTCACTAGTGCCAGGAACAATGCTAAATCCAGGGTGACGGCCACTTCACAAATGTCTGCTGTTAGACCATCGTCACCGGGTGCCTTTTTTGCACTGAAGCTAGACACGGCCCACATAAGCTCTTCTGTTGTAAATGGTGGGTCACATGGACTATCATGTGACCCTTCGTTTACAGTTTCCGCTGTAGCTCTTGTTTGCGTGTGTTCCGTGTCGTCGTCTTCAGTGCTATCGTGTGGATAAAAGGTTTCCGCCAGTATCCTAGCCGATTCCTCACCGTCTAGCGTCCTCCCGTCCTGAACAAGTGGAACATCTTCTTGCCGTGTCAGTGTGCGACTTATAACCCTATATATACCGTCCCACATTGTTTCTCGGTCTTGCTTACAACAGAAGTCCTTCCAGCTGGCGGTTTGAGCTCTTTTTACTTCTTGCTTGTATTCTTCTTTCGCTCTTATGTATTGCTCGACCACCCACCCGCGACGGACTGGCGCTGCATATGAAATACGCCGCTTTAACCTGGAGACCTCCTTTTTACGCTGTGTTAGCTCGGGAGTCCACCAGGGCAATCCCATTTGTTTTTTAGTTTTTAATTTTGGGATACTGTTTTTACATGCTTCTGAAACTGAATTTGTGTATTGTTCTATTTTGATTTCTAGTTCGTCGGTTGTTGCTATTTTATCTATTTCTTCTTTATTTATTCTTTCCTCGTTCCAAATTTGGGCGAGTTTCTCACGAAACTCGCCCCAATTCGCCTTTTTTGTGTTGTATTGCCTAGTACTTCTTTTTATATTGGTGCCTATTGATTTGCCTAAATTGATGTCAAATAGGATTGCCCTGTGGTCCGAACTGGTTATTTCGTCGGATAGTCTCCAGTTGTCCATCCTGCCGAGTAGGCTAGTCGAGCAAGTAGTCAAATCCACACAGCTGGAGAACCTCTTTCCACCTCTATAGGTGTCAAAAGTGGGCTCAGTCCCCCTGTTCAGAATATGAAGTTCTAATTGATCAAGCTTTGCGGCGACCTCTATTCCTCTGTTGTTTGTTTTCCGGCTTCCCCACCAGGTGTTCCATGCATTTACGTCCCCACCGAGTATCACGTGTCTTGTCCGTAGACCCACCACGGCCGCATCGATCATTTCTAAATAAGGGTCGATTGGTAAATCGCCCTCTAGGTAGACGGACACCACCCCCAAGTCCCATGCCCCGGTGCTCAGCTTAGCGACTGCGATATTCTCTGTTGTTAGGCCGGGGCATTGGGTCATGTCGATGGCGTCATTGAATAGCACAATAGCTGCCTTAACCACTTTTTCAGTGTTCCGGCTTTTGTCGCTTTGTGCTATTCTCGTCCCCGAGTAGCTCTTCATTTGACCAATTCGACCTATATAGGGCTCTTGAACCAAAGCGAAGGATATCCCTCGCTTGGTCGCCTCTGTTATTAATTCGGCCGTGGCTAGTTCACACCTCTGAAGATTAGTCTGGATCGCGTGATATCGGTGGGTACAGATGTTAGGTTCCATGGTCGAGTTTGAGTCAACTTTAGCAGTATGCTACGGTCGACCTGGCGAGTACTTCCCATTTTCTTCTAACCGGACAGTCTGAGCTAAAAGCGTTGTGATCTTTTCTGTCATGGTTTGCTTTGTTGCAATTTCTGCATTCTGGTATTGCTCCAGACAGCCAATCAGCACATTCTGTTTTGAGGTGTGGGCCCCCGCAATGGCTGCAAACGTCAGTTGTTTCTGTGCATATTCGTTTACTATGTCCATACTCTAGACAACGCGAACATTGAACTAGGGGGGACTGGTCCATCACTCTTACTCGTTGTAAGTCAATGTGAATGACCTCAGCCTCGATGAGACGGTTCCAAATCTGAGGCGAAACTCTCATCACAATGTGGGACGTATGCGGGTTTCTTGTTCTTTTCCGGTACTTAATTTCCATTCGATCCTCTTTTTCTGTTATTTCCCTGAAGAGGTTTTTATTTTGCGTTCTTATTGCCTTTATTACCTCTTCATCCTTATTATACTGCATAACGTCTCTCAAGATTACAAGTGGATCCTTGTTTTTTATATCATTTACATTTAGATCTTTCCCTGCCTGTTTTAATCTTTCCTTGACTCTATTTATCTCCTCCTCCGTTCGGCATCCCAGTATTACTTTTCTATCCCTTGCCTTCCTGATTTTATCTATCTTCAACTCTTCTTCCTTGGCATTTATTGCGTTCCTTATCTTAACCATGACCTGT